TAGCCTTTCAAAACGGAAAACTAATTCCAGTGTTTCACTAGGTATATCCCCAGTCACAACTCACACACAAGAGTTCTCACAACACCGAAGGTATGGCCGGAACACTGTAGAACGTTCACAAAGGCATTCTGGGATTCAGAACAGATGTAACTGCATGTAACTTGGCCTTCACTGGCTGGCTTGGAGTGCTGTTTATCCTGGATCGGCTAAACTCGCCCTTATCCCATATGTAGATAATGGCGACGAGCTAAGGGATACCGGTGAATAGGAAAGTCGAGGAAGGGACATTCACCTCACTAGACACACGCAGTATGGGTGTAAGTGGCATGCGGGTCTTATAGTGTCATTTTCAAGGTCACCCAGCAGGCCAGACATTACTCACTCATTTTAAGCCTACGTAAGTACTGATGGTAGCACAATGTCCTAAGTCAGTTTAATCCACTCGTGCAAATAGTTACAACAAACCTGCAGCACTTAACACTTCTAGCACACATATGACAGAAGAATGTTCACTCTGTGGTGAATGCACTTAGCAGAAACTTATTATGTTTATAGGTGAACTTCTGGCATGTCCCACTTAAAAAGTTAGTACTGCAATGCTCATTAAATTGTTCTTAACTAAGCCACTACAGGAAACACTGGTACGCCAGCAGCACTGTAGAACGTATACGTAGACATGCTGGGGGTCAGGAGCTGTAACTGCAGGCTGCCTTAGCTTGTCCTGGCTAGCTTGGAGTGCTGCTTTCAAGCTTGCTTGAATGTGCTTGCTAAGCCCGTGTCAACCACTTGGATATTTGCTTGTAGCAGGCAGGTAGGCACACAGGAGACATATTCGTAAGATGAATGGAGTGCGGCACAGTGGACTGACACGGGCTCTCAAGCATTTACGTGGTCTGGCAAAAACCGCCTCTAGACCATAAGTAAATAGAGGCGAATGGCTGAGTTCCAAATCGAGGAAGGAGGGGAGACAGGCGAGGTGGAGTGAAGGAAGGCCTCCTACAGCCACTTCAAATCAATGTTTGTGTTTCACTAGGTATATCACTGGTCACAGTTCACATATAAGAGTTCCAGCAGCAATTCAGCTGCGCTCCAACGATATTTGTTGCATGATGAGTTATCAGTCGGGTGAGATAAGCAGTTAATGGATGATACAATTATTCAGATGCTTGAATTACTATATACAGCAATTGAAAAAAAACAAAATATCCTCTAGGGCTCTTCATAGACCTACAAAAGTATTTGATACAGTGGATCACAATATCTTGCACCTAAAACTAGAGCATTGCAGGGTCAGAGGACACACTCTCAATTATAGTGGTCCCTCGTTGTTCGTAATTAATCCGTTCCTGGAGCTGTTACTATAAACGAAATTTACGATTTACAAATCAATTTTCCCCATAAGAAATAATGTAAATACAATTAATCCGTTCCTGACACCCAGAAGTATTAAAACAAAAATTTTTAACATGAAATATACATGTAGTACATAAACAATACAATGGGAAATGATGAATGAAACATTAACAGCATAACACTTACCTTTATTGGAGATTCTTCTTGGTGTATGGGAGACTGGAGGAGGAGAGAGAGTGGACTGTTTGTAGTTTGGAAGGGGAATCCCCTTCCATCAACACCTCAGGTACCATTTGCTTTTCTGGGGTTGTTTCTCTTCTCTGTTTCTTAATGCCACTAGGACCACCTTGAGAGTCACTGGAGTCCTGTCTCACAAAATAACTGTGGAGAGAGCTCTGTTTCTGGCGTCTCTTTAACACTTCCCTAAAATGGCCCAAGACTTTGTCACTGTACATGTTGCCAACCTGGCTTGCAACAACCTTGTTAGGGTGATGTTTCTCCATAAAGCTTTCCATCTTACCCCACATAGTAAAAATCTCTTAATTTCTGAAGAAGGCACCTCTTCCATCTCTCTTCCTCCTCCTCTGCAGCAAGATTCTGAGCTGCGATGTGTTGCTCTTCCTGCTGAAGCTCTTCCAGCTCCTCAGTGGTGAGCTCTTCCACCAATTCTTCCACACCCTCCAAATCACATCCAACCCCATAGAACTCCCCATGCCACAATTGATTTACAACAGACATAGGCTCATTAGGGCCCAGTCCCAAATCCTTCAAATCCCTCTTGTCGACACAATCGGCCACAATTTTCTCCAGGCAGAGTTCAAAGTCTTGGTAGTCATTTCCCTCCCAACCATACCTATAAGGGTATGCAGTGGAGGATGCTGAAGTGTTCTCCCCAAAATTCCCTTAGGGTCAAGTGAGTGTCTGTGGTCACAGTCAAGCACCTGTGAAACATTGTTTTTGTGTAGAGTTTTTTAAATTTTGCAATAACCTGCTGGTCCATGGATTGGAGGAGAGGAGTGGTATTCGGGGCAAGAACTTTACTGTGATGAACCCAAACTCCTCAAAAATTTTAGGTCATCCAATTTTGGGAGGATGAGCAGGTGCATTGTCCGTTACTAGCACACACTTGAGATCCAATTTCTTTTCCAGGAATACTCCTTCACACTAGGGCCAAACACTTCATTGAAAACCCCTCGACGAAATTTCCCTCGTGACCCATGCCTTACTATTAATTTCCAAAACACAAACAATTTACTCTTCATAACATTGTTTTTCTGAACACTCTGGGATTTTTAGAATGGTACACTAGTAATGGCTTCACTTTGAAATCCCCACTAGCATTAGCCAGAACATTAGCGTCAGCCTGTCTTTCATAGGCTTATGTCCTGGCATTGCCTTTTCCTCTTGTGTAGTGAAGGTCCTCTTTGGCATTTTCTTCCAAAAGAGGCCTGTTTCGTCACAATTGAACACTTGTTCAGGTTTCAGTCCTTCACTGTTTATGTACTCCTGGAATTCATGCACATATTTTTTAGCCGCCTTGCGGTCCAAACTGGCAGCCTCACCATGCCTTACCACAGTGTGTATGCCAGTACGGTTCTTAAATCTCTCAAACCAGCCTTTGCTGGCCTTAACCCTTTGACTGTCGCGGCCGTATATATACGTCTTATGAGGTACCGTGTTTGACGTATATATACTCATAAATTCTAGCGGCTTCAAATCAAGCAGGAGAAAGCTGGTAGGCCCACATGTGAGAGAATGGGTCTGTGTGGTCAGTGTGCACCATATAAAAAAAATCCTGGAGCACGCAGTGCATAATGAGAAAAAAAAAACTCTGACCTTTTTTTTTTTAATTAAAATGCCGACTTTGTGGTCTTTTTTTCGTATAGTATTTATGGTTGTTTTTCTCGTTTTCTTGGTCTCTTTTGATAGAATGGAAAACATATTATAGAAATAGAGGTGATTTTTCATTGTTTTTTACTATAAAAAGACCTAGAAATGGAGCTCAAAGTAGGGGAAATGTTTGATTTTTGCCAATGTTCAAAAGTAAAAAATGATGCCATTGTCCAATAAATGTCCAACTAGCCATTCTAATATGCAGTCATGAAGGGGTTGTTGTTATTTAATCAATTATTACAGTATTGCAGTAGTCTGCATAAATAGTAAGTCTTCTATTTTTTGTTTGAATAAAAATTCAAAATAGAAAGCAAGAGTAATTATCAGGGGGGCCCCTGGAGACATGACTGATGAGCAAAAAAAAATTTTATTTTAGACCCAGGAATGTCTGCATTGTTCTTTTCTGGACCTTAATTTTGAAATTGTCATATTTTTTAGTTTTCGTGAAAATTGGCCAAATTGCAAATTTCTGACCAATTATTAGGTAGTTGAAATCGTTAAATGGGCAGTTTCTTGTACTCAATCGATAGAAAAAAATGGAGCTCTAAAGAAATAGCTATGAGTTTGGGCGACTGGAACAATGGAATTAGCTGAAAATAGGGCTCAAAGTGGGCGAAATCGCCGATTAGTAAACAGCGCCGAGGTCGCTAACTTCGCGAGAGCATAATTCCTTCAGTTTTCCATCAAATTTCGTTTTTTTTTTGGTGTCATTACAATCGGGAAAAGATTCTCTATCATTTCATAAGAAAAAATAATTTTTTTTTTTTAAATTTTGCGACACCAGGAGACACCTCAGGATTCGGGGTTGCGACAGTCAAAGGGTTAAATCCACTCACTTCACCACTATTTGCAGGCAATTTCTTTACCAAATCTTCATGCAACTGCCTAGCCTTTTCACAAATAAACGAAGTCATAAGAGTATCTCCTGCTAATTGTTTCTCATTTATCCATACCAATAATAACTTCTCAACCTCTTCCAGTACTGGTGATCTCATTTTTGTCAGCATAGTTACTCCCTTTGCAACAACAGCATCCTTTATTTCATTTTTCTTGGCCACTATGGAACATAAGATTGTGTAGGGTTTCTTATACATCCTGGACAGTTCGGCCACACTTGTACCACTTTCATATTGTTCAATGATGGTTTTCTTAAATTCAGTCGTATTTCTCACCTTCTTTACCACAGGCTTGGCACTAGGAACTTTCTTTGGAGCCATGGTAGCTTATTTAGTACTTGCAAGCACTAAAATAAATGGAATTTTATGAAATATTTCGCTGGAGCACGCGAGGGGACCTTCGCTCACTGGTAAACAATGCCAGACTGGCTGCCGCCCTGGCCCACGCCGTGCGTACGCGTCCCGGACGAACTACGACTCGCGAGTCGACCTATGAAAAGCGAGTCCATGTTTATACGAAAATACCCCTATGATTGGCGAATTTTACGATTGCCGGGAACTATGAAAAGCGGGGGACCACTGTACCTAAAATCTTATCATAGCAGTAGACACCAGTATGTATACACAAATGGCGTAACCTCCAATACTCATCCTGTAGTTGTTGGAGTGCCACAGGGAAGTGTCCTAGGTCCTCTCTTCTTTCTTATTTATATCAATGACCTCCCAAATGCATCATGACTTAAGTTCTTCAGTTTATCTAACACGGATTTATCTAACAAGACAGTTTCTGGAACGTAACTACAGTGTAATGTAAGAGTCTATTGTATTTATTTTACTAAATCTTGACTAATGTTTCAGGCTGATGGTAGAAGCAGCTAAGGAAGACTGCAGGCTGACCACAGTATTCCTAGAACAGGCTGGTGCATTGGCCTTCATAGTGGACAGGTTTTCAGGCCTCACTCCCCTCACTGCTGCCCTCCGTTCCTCCCACTGGCACTTGGCAGCACACCTGGCCAAGTCCTCTGGTAGTCTATACATTCCAAATACTGCTGATAATATCCTGCCTAGAGATCTCTTTCCCCAGAGTAAGAGAGGAAAACTGGAGAAGGTTTGTATTGCAATTGCATTATAGTATTACATGAGAGAGGGTCTTGGTGAATTAATCACAACAAAAGTCAATACAGCCACTCCTCACTTAACGACTGAGTTCCATTCCTAAGACAATGTCGGTAAATGAAGTTGTCTCTAAGCAAGGAGCATATTATAATGGTAGTGGGTTTGTGTCAGCCATCTTTGATATTGTTTTAATGTCACCTTTGCACTATTTATAACATTTCTGGTACAGTGGACCCCTGGATTTAGTTGTCATCTCACTTTCTTTACCAAAGGGCTGGCACTAGAGCTTTGGGCCCATGGTGGCTTATTTAGCAGTTGCAAGCACTAAAACAAATAAAATATATTAAGAAATGTATTGTATGAACGCATGAGGTGATCGTCACTCGCCAAGATACAGTGGAACCTCAAAAATCGAACGTATCACATATCGAACGTTTCGAAAATTGGACCATTTTTTCGGACAAACTGTGTCCCTATTATCGAATGCGCCCCTATTTTTGGACCGCCAGGCACGGGACCTGTCTGCCGCTCGCTCTGTCTGCGTCCCCGCGCAGGCACCATGAGCAGTCTAGCTTAGTTTAGGCTTGAGTGAACACTAACCTGCGCTCTCATTCATGCATTTTACGATTATTTCGTTGTGTTTAGTGCTTGTGGGGCTGTGAAATAAGCTGCCTTGGTCCCAAAGAAACTTGCTAGTGGCACCCCTGTGGTAAAGAAAGTGAGAAACACCATAGATGTGAAGAAGGAAATAATACAGAAGTATGAGAGTGGTGTGAGACTTGTTGAGCTTGCCAGGATGTATGGGAAAAAACAAGTCGACCATCGGTTCTATCCTGTCAAAGAAAGAACAAATCAAGGAAGCTGATGTTGCGAAAGGTGTTAATATAGGGAGTGGATGAGGTGCCTTCTTCAAAGATTAAGGAGATTTGTGCCAAGTGGAATGATGTTCAAATGTTTGTGCAGAAGTACCACCCTGAGCAAGCTGAAACAAGCCATCTTTGCAACAAGTTCAGTGACAGAACCATGTCCCATTTTAGGGAAATGTTAAAGAGGCACCAGAAACAGAGGACTGTGGACAGTTATTTTGTGAGACAGGGGCCCAGTGACTCAAGCTGGTCCTAGTGGCATTAAAAGACAGAGAAGGGAAGTAACCCCAGAGAGGGCTTTGCCTGAAGTCCTCATGGAGGGGGATTCTCCTTCCAAACACTAACCCCAACTCCCTCTCTCCTCCTCCCTATCTTCCAGATGCCATCACCAGTCTTCAATAAAGGTAAATAAAAATGCTATTTTATATGCATTACTATACATAATTAAAAACTATGGTATTTGTTGTATGTAAAACTGTAATTAATCTCTATAAAATGTATTTTTTGTGTGAATATTTTTGGGTTTCTGGAATGGATTAATTGTATTTCCATTATTTCTTATGGGAAATATTGATTCAAATTTCAGACTTTTCGAATTTAGAACTAGCTCCTGGAACGGATTAAGTTCGATTTTTGAGGTTCCACTGTACAATGCCAGACTGATTTTGAATGGTGTTTGTGTGCCCACAGCGCCTGGGAGGCCGCTCAGATGCATTTTGCCAATTTCTAAGCCAAATCACAGAAATCAAGCCAATACAGCGTTCCCTCGATAATTGTCGGGCTCGATAGTCGTCCTTTTCGGAAATTGTTGCGTTATTTTTGACCAAACATTGGCTCGCAAAATGGTCGGCTGACTCGCTAATCGTTGTTCATCCTGGACGCACACTCACAGCTCTGAGCCACCTCGGCCTCCTTTCCCAGCCAGTGTGACATTGTTTACCAGTGAGCGATGGTCCCCTCACTTGTTCATATGAAATATTTCATAATATTCCATTCATTTTAGTGCTTGCAAGTGCTAAATAAGCTACCATGGCTCCAAAGAAAGCTCCTAGTGCCAAGCCTTTGGTAAAGAAGTTGAGAAATACGATTGAATTTAAGAAAAACATCATTGAACAATATGAAAGTGGTGTACGTGTGGCCGAACTGGCCAGGATGTATAACAAACCCCATACAACAATATCTTCCATCGTGGCAAAGAAGAAGGAAATCATGGAAGCTGTTGTTGCTTGGAGAAAATTGTGGCCAGATTGTGTCCACAAGAGGGATTTTGAAGGGTTTGTGGCTGACCCTGATGAACCTATGTCAATTGTGAAATCTATTGTGGCTTTGGGGAGTTTCAATGGGGTTGGATGTGAGTTTGGAGGATGTGGAAGAGTTGGTGGAGAACCACAATGAAGCACTAACCACTGAGGAGCTGCAAGAGCTTCAGCAGGAACAGCAACAGATCACAGCTCAGAATCTTGTTGCAGAGGAGGAGGAAGAGAGATGGAAGAAGGTGCCTTCTTCAGAAATTAAGGAGATTTTTGAAATGTGGGGTAGGATGGAAAGATTTATGGAGAAACATCACCCTGAGAAGAGTGTTGCAAGCCATATCGGCAACTTGTACAGTGACAGAATCTTGGCCCATTTTAGGGAAGTTTTAAAGAGATACGAGAAACAGAGCTCTCTGGACACTTTTTTTGTGAGACAGGACTCCAGTGACTCTCAAGCTGGTCCTAGTGGCATTAAGAAACAGAGAAGAGAAGTATGTAACCCCAGAAAGGGACTTGGTACCTGAGGTGTTGATGGAAGTGGATTCCCCTTCCCAACAGTAACAAATCCAATCTCTCTCCTCCTCCAGTCTTCCATACACTAAGAATAATCGCCAATAAAGGTAAGTGTTATGCTGTTAATGTTTCAGCCATCATGTCGCATTGTATTGTTTATGTACTACATCTATATTTCATGTAAAAAAATTTTTTGTTTTGATACTTCTCGGTGTCAGGAATGGATTAATTGTATTTACATAATTTCTTATGGGGAAAATTTATTCAAAAATTGTGTATTTCAATAATCGTCACACTTCCAGGAATGGATAAACGAGGGACCACTGTATTTTGATGAAAAAATTCTCCGATTTCCAAAATTCACGATGTTCAAGGGGGATGAAATTCAAGGGTCCACTGTACACAACTTTCCTTGTATGAATCTTAGTCCTGGCTTCCTCTCTGTAGACACCTTCCTTTCCCACTACATTGTAAAATGCTCCAAACTTCAAAACACCCGTGACTTAACCTGATTCCTTTTTCTTTCTCTTTTCTTCTTTTTTCTTTTTCTTCTCCCTCTTCCCCTTTCCTCTTTCCTTTTTCTCCTTTGGGTTGTCTTCTGCCTTGGGTATTCCTTCATTTTTTATTTATTTTTTCCCCCCTCTGTGTTCTTGCTCTTACCCTCTGTAGGCACCTACCTCCCTTGCAGTGCCCCTCTTTCTCAGTACAGTGGACCCCCGGTTATCGGCCAGTTCAGTTATCAGCCAGTTCAGTTATCGGCCAACTCGGTTATCGGCCAATTTTTCGGTGCCCGGTTATCGGCCATTAATTCAGTTATCTGCCATTTGGGAGGCGTCCATCCACTGGCTGGGGTCACTTGCGAGTCAGTTTGGCTTTGTCTCTGGGCGAGTGAGGAAGCTTCTGCTCATTCATCCAAACATTTTGCTACAATCCATTGTTTTTTGTGGTTATTGATTGAGTGCAACTGCAAAATAAACAACCATGAGCCCAAAGAAACACGTTACATAGTATATAAAAACATATGTTTATATGCGATGTATATTTATTAATGATCACCGGTGTATTAAATGCCTTATTTTACATTAATATAGACATTTTCATTAATCCATCTATTATATCTTCTTCAAAATTATATAAGAAACATGTTACATAGCATATAAACATGGTATGTTTATTATTATTTTTTTTTTTTTTTATTATCACACCGGCCGATTTCCACCAAGGCAGGGTGGCCCGAAAAAGAAAAACTTTCACCATCATTCACTCCATCACTGTCTTGCCAGAAGGGTGCTTTACACTACAGTTTTTAAACTGCAACATTAACACCCCTCCTTCAGAGTGCAGGCACTGTACTTCCCATCTCCAGGACTCAAGTCCGGCCTGCCGGTTTCCCTGAATCCCTTCATAAATGTTACTTTGCTCACACTCCAACAGCACGTCAAGTATTAAAAACCATTTGTCTCCATTCACTCCTATCAAACACGCTCACGCATGCCTGCTGGAAGTCCAAGCCCCTCGCACACAAAACCTCCTTTACCCCCTCCCTCCAACCCTTCCTAGGCCGACCCCTACCCCTATGTGATGTATATTTAATAATCACTTTGCCACATTAACCCTTAAACGGTCCAGACATATATGCATGTATATGTTCACCTGCACAGTGTCCCGAATATTTTGAGAAAAAAAACAATTGGTTTTTTTATAGGAAAAAAGAGCATGTGGTACCCAGGCATCCGCAATTTTTTTCATATGGTGCACACTGAGTGCGCACACCCATTCTTTCATGTCTAGGCGACTCAGGCCTATTGTGCCAATGTTGAATAACTGACAAACGAAATGTATATACAGTGGACCCCCGCATAACGATTACCTCCGAATGCGACCAATTATGTAAGTGTATTTATGTAAGTGTGTTTGTACGTGTATGTTTGGGGGTCTGAAATGGACTAATCTACTTCACAATATTTCTTATGGGAACAAATTCGGTCAGTACTGGCACCTGAACCTACTTCTGGAGTGAAAAAATATCGTTAACCGGGGGTCCACTGTATATGTTTTTGGCGCTACACGAGAGAACGTATATATACTTTTGGACTGTTTAAGGGTTAAATGTCTTAATTTATGTTAATATAGACATTTTCATTAATCCATCTATTATATTTTCAAAATTATATAAGAAACACATTACATAGCATATAAACATGCAAAGTTTATTACAGTGGACCCCCGCATAACGATATTAATCCGTTCCTGAGAGCTCGTTGTTATGCGAAATTATCGTTATGCGAATGAATTTTCCCCATAAGAAATAATGGAAATCAAATTAATCTGTGCAACACACCCAAAAGTATGAAAATTTT